ATGGAAAATTAAAAAATAAAAATAAAAAATTGAGAAAATCTTCTGGACTCGTCCAGAGGACCTACTCAACTTTCTCTATTAATTTAACAATTTAAAATGAACTTTGAATCTTCTGTTTGAATAATAATTTAAAATCAGAAGCAAATCTGGAGGTGGGGCACGTTGGTGAGCGCCTGGTGGCTGGGCTTTCACCCATGGAGCCCAATCAGGCACAGCCCGAAGAGGAGACATGGGTCCCCCTTCCCATGGGCTCACCACCTGTGGGAGGGGCCATAGGGGTCAGGTACAATGTGTGTTGAGCAGTGGTTGAAGGCGGGGACCTTGGTGGTCTGATCTTCAGCTACAGAAGCTGCTCTAGGGACGTGGAATGTCACCTCTCTGGTGGGGGAGGAGCCTGAGCTGGTGTGTGAGGTTGAGAGGTTCAGACTAGATATAGTTGGACTCACCTCGACACACCACTCTGGCCTGGGTTAACCCCGGTGAATGAGAGGGTAGCCTCCCTCTGCCTACAGGTGGGGGGACGGGTCCTGACTGTTGTYTGTGCCTATGAGCCTAACARCAGTTCAGATTACCCACCCTTTCTGGAGTCCTTGGAGGGGGTGCTGGAGAGCGCTCCTAACAGGGACTCCCTCGTTCTGCTGGGGGACTTCAACGCTCATGTGGGTAATGACAGTGAGATCTGGAGAGGCGTGGTTGGGAGTGTCTATATGTGCTCTTGGCACCAGGACACCCTAGGCTGCAGTTYGATGATCGACTTTGTTGTCGTTTGTTGATCTGCGGCTGCATGTTTTGGACACTCAGGTGAAGAGAGGGGCGGAGCTGTCAACTGACCACTACCTGGTGGTGAGTTAGCTCCGTTGGTGGGGGAGGATGCTGGTCAGATCTGGCAGACCCAAACGTAYAGTGAGGGTCTGCTGGGAACGTCTGTCAGAGTCTCCTGTCAGACGGAGCTTCAACTCACACCTCCAGGAGAACGTTGAACACGTTCCAGGGGAGGTGGGGGACATTGAGTCGAGTGGGGCATGGTCCGTACCTCCAGTGTCGAGGCGTCTTACCTGAGCTGTGGCTGTAAGGTTGTCGGTGCCTGTCATGGCAGCAACCCTCAAACCCGCTGGTGGACACCGGTGGTGAGGGATGCTGTCAGGCTGAAGAAGGAGTCCTATCAGGTCTTTTTGGCCTGTGAGACTCTTGAAGCAGCTGATAGGTATCGGCAGTCCAAGCGGATTGCGGCTCGGGTGGTCGCTGAGGCAAAAACTCTGGCATGGGAGGAGTTTGGAGAGGCAATTGNGACCAGAAGCACAGATATTATTATTATTATTATTCTGGAAGATTTATTGTCAATAGTTTCATTTTTGACTTAATCTGTATAAAAACAAATAGTAAAGCTGTGATAACAGCACTCCAAACATTAAGCTGTGTTTAATAAAAGGGTAGAGAACAGGAAGTGCTTCAGCTACATGCTKCTGTCAGCTTGTAAAAATAAAGTGTGGACAAAGTGTAGCCACAAAACTTTTTTTTTCCTTCCAGCCTTCTGGCATTAAAAACAAAAATCTAGATGCAGTTCTCTGCCATGACAGACTCCGCCCCCTCAGGTCAAAAAGCTGACTCCGCCCCCTCAGGTCAAAAAGCTGTCAATCAGTACAACTGATCAGCTCCATCAGAACCAAATGAAGCTCAACAGGAAGTGAGAAATAAAAAACAAGTTACGTTTTGAACAACTTTTAATCTGAAGGATTAACAAGGGAAAAAACTTTCACAATAAAACTAACATTATTGTTTACTGCTGCCCGTCATGTGACCCCCTCACCCCCACCCTCAGGCTGGAAACTACAATACTTTAAGACATACAGAGAATTCTGGGAAAATAAGTCAAGCTGTTTACAAAAACGGTTTTACAAACTTTCAAATTAAAAGTCTTGAAAAAACAAAAGCTTTATTTTGAAATGGTTTGTTTTTATTCCCATGGAAACTGCTGTCATCAAGTTTTATTCATAATTTGAAAGACAAACAGAAAAGCAGTTACAAAGCCAGAAGACTGTCAAAATAAAAGCACTGGGTCCCATGGGATCACCTGCGGTACCGCCCCCTCTCCTTGTCCCGCTCTTTGTCCCTGTCTCTGTCCCTCGCTCGCTCACGCTCACGCCGAGGTCCGCCACGCTCGCGCTCACGCTGACGCTCGCGCTCCCTCCTGCTGCTCACCACCGCCTGCGTCCGCCGCAGGAAGTCGTCCACTCGCATGTCGTAGTCGTGCTGCAGGAAAACACAAAAACCAGTCGGTACGGTCCAGTCAGGAACCTGAGCAGAGCCAAGGCCAAACTTACCGGGCTGGAGGCGAAGGTGCGGTGCTGCGGGGCGCGCTGCTTGTCTCTGAAGCGAGGGGGCGGAGCCTCGTGGGGCGGGAGGGGTGGATGGTGGTGGTGGTGATGGAAGGCCTGGTGGGGAG